TGATCAATCATGTGGTTGAAGGACTCGGCGCTAGTGGAGGCGACCCCGTGGTTGTATAGATGGTTGGTATGCTCAGTTCTGAATGTAGGAGCTCGAAGCTCAGGCACAGTATACGATTGGAGTTCCGGAGCACCAGGTGCATGCTGCTCGACTCCCAAGATTTCCGAGTATGCTTGGTTGCGTCGGCGGTTTCCCTCGACGGCAATGCCACGATACTGATTGTGGAAATTTCGATGGATGGAAGCTCTGTGCTGAAGTCCGACAGAAGCAATGGCGCCATTTCCGAATAGTTGGCTCTGGAAGCTCCGTTGTGTTACGACAATAGGTCTATCTTCGTGCATGCTCGAGCTGCCATGGACGACATTACCATGATATTGATTGTGGATATTTCGATGGATGGTAACTCCGTGCTCAAATCCGTTAGAACCATCGCCATTCTCGAATAACTGGCGTTGGCTGTGTCGTCTTCCGACAATAGCTCCATTTTGCAAGCTACCTCCGACGGCGTTACCATCATACCGATCATATACATTTCGATGGATGGTAGCTCCGTGCTCAAATCCGTTAGAACCATAGCCATTTCCGAATATCTGGCGTTGGATATGTTGTTGCCCCAGGCCGTCTTCTCTCAGCATTGGGGACAAAAATTCCAACTTTCTGACATCGTCTTCATATCTCTCCACATCGGCAAGGGATTGGTCTTCAGCGGATTTGACCTTTCGTCGGTTCTCGACATCCAAATTCCGAGCTGCGAGTGGGTTAGAGTTCCTTAGCTTTGAATGGTAAAGCGCCCAATGGGCTCGGTGCTGAACGTAAGCAGGTCGTTCCGCCTCGCTCTGCTTGACTGAGAATCTCGGGGTTATATCCGAAATGTCCGGATTTCGGCTGCCATCGGGTTAGCTTTGACCTAGTTATGGTCTATGGTGTCTGGCTGAATATACATACATGTATTGGCGACCCCCGACCGCGGGATAATGTCCAAGCAGAACTGGAGGGACATCAACATGAGCATGGGAGACCCTGCCATCGTGTTAGCTTTGATTAGGTTATGATCTATGATGCCTGGTTGGATAGACATACTTGGATGGGTCTTTCTCGCCCTCGCTCTGGTCCTGGCTCTGGCCTTGGCTCCGAGTTTGGCTTTGGCTCGCGCTATCGCTCTTATCAACCGTGAATTGTGTCGGCAGTCCTGAGCGGAAATTCTGCATACTTCTAGCCTGTTTGTCAAGGACCCTGCCATATCATGTTAGTCTGGATATGATGAAGACTTGTGGTGTCTGGCTGGATATACATACATGGATGGGTCACTTTGACCATCAGCATAGTGGTGTAGCGATCCAGGGTCCATGCTGAGGGTTGCCGTTCTTTTTGAGACCATATAATCCTCGTCATCAGAAGGATTCGCGCCATTCTCTGATGTGATAGACTTCTGTTCAAAACCCCCGTCCTCAGAATCCGATTCCTCGCCGCTCTCATGACCACGCGAAGATATTGGGAAATGCACACTCTTTACTCTCTTCCCAAGAACCCTCGAGGCCGTGGTATTACCTCTGAAGAATTCATCATCGGAGGGTTCGATGTCAACTTTAGGCGCTCTTTTGATGGTCAGACAACCCACCGTTTTACGCTTCTCTGTCGGAGTAGTAGACTGAGGCTCACGCAGAACTTCGGCCACCTTCTTAGTATCTACATAAATTCTGTTAGAGTTTGTTTCTGAACAATTCCCTGGGCCTAGATGCATTTTTACATATTCTCTTCCACGGCTATGTGAACCTGGGAAGGGATAACTTACTTTTTCTCTCAAGTCCTTTCGCATCTTCATCTTCCTCGGACTCAGATGAAGCAGCGTAGAAGCCTTTGGCATGTCGATCTCGGGTATCCTTCTTTGGAGTCATGCGCGGCAGTGACTTGCTCTTGCTAGACGAGCTACGCAGAATGCGCTGGGAATCGGCCATTGTTCGTTGCGATCTCAAAGTTTTTAGATGATCTTTCTTCGTGATTGAGGACTAAAGGAGTTCTATTCAGGAGATGCTTGTTAGTTATGCTGCTTTGACGTATCTCAAAGCTAGTTGAGGATGTGGGTCAAGATGAGGAAGTTCGTTGATCAAGCCAGAGGTTGGAAACGATCAGCAGTCAAACGTGATTGAATTGCGCTTGCAAAAGAATCCTGAAAAAGAGAAGTGAAGTAGCCCACAGCTGAAAGCTATGTTCTTTAGGTGATTGTATGCAAGGCAGAGGTCGTGAGATGTCGCGAAGCGTGGCTTGCTTTATGTAAAGAGCTGGTGCTTCAAGGCGTAGACATCCATCGAGAAGTACCCTCTGTTCCACGATGGAAAGCTGGCACTTCAAGACGCATACCCTTGCAACAGAGCTATCCCTGATGGAAAACCATTGAGACAGTGTGCGCGAAGAGGGGTGGTGCTGGGAAGGGGAGCGATCGAGGCCGTCGCACACAACGAAAGCGTGCTCTCCCTCTGTGGTTGACGGTCTCGATATCTTTGTACTTGAGTACTTACAGTCAATCGAAGGCTCGATATCGTGCTGTGCGAGGAGTGTGTATTATTGAACTTGACGCTGTCATTGTGCAAAAGGGGGGAATGTGGAGGAAGGCTACGGTCGGGAGACTCTTGCGATCGACCACAACAATGTTTGTTGTGGTCCTTGAGATGTTTTGCTTACCTGTCTTGATATAGAGCAGTGCTAGAGGGACTCTAGATGCTCGTTGCCAATTGCGAAGTTGGGGAGAGCTCGTGGATGTGGTATCCAGAAATGTAGAGGAGAAGTGGATGATATACCTTCGAGAAGATCGAGGAATATTTGCACTCAGCTTCTTACTTACGTCTAAGCGAGTCATTCCCCCTCGATTTGACAGATGGTGAATGAGGTGGTCGACCGTGTTAAGTGGGGATGTTGGACGTTCATTCGTTGATTGATATCTTCAGGCCCACCCTGAGACCTCATGGGATGGCAACGGAGCCTCGAATTTGAGGCCTAACAGTTTGTTTGCAATCAAGTGGAAGAAGGCGGGACCTCTGTCACTTTGGGCATTGAAAGTGTCACTCAGAAGGACTGAGCGTTCTGTAAAAGGGGAACAGTGCGACAAAGAAGAATTACACAAAGAAGGAGACGTCGGGAACATAGTACACCTGGCTCGTATATTGGACTGATTGCTTGAGTCTTTAGAATCTCGCGAAACATAGAGATTCTTTAAGTAATCAGGATATAATCTTGGGGGTCTACCTTCCTCCCGTTGAGGATAATGTCTCACAGATCGTGGGGCATTTTAATATCTCGTTCCCAGGACCTTCCGTCGGATTTTACAAGCAACTGATAACCGTGTGTGAAGAGTATTGCTTTCCAACTTAAGACGTCTACAAATCCACTACAACAACATGGCTGGATGTTTATGACGTTCACGATATACTTCCTCGGCATACGACTAGATTTGAAACACTTACTCCAACGGCTGCATTCGCAAAGGTTGGACAACGAATACTTACGATACGACTTGGAAAAGCATGGGGGACGAAGCACGTTATGAGCAAAGTGTTATCAAAACCAGTAGTATTATGTAGCTTATGGTCATTCGATCAACGACACACTCGTAGCCAACTCCAACGCCCCAGACCCACACCATATCCAGCAATGCCCCATATTCATCCAGCCATCATGGTCCATCCACAGATTGTATATGAATCTAAGTCCGTCCTCTCGGTGTTTTGGCGCTAGCTTCGTCTTTCTGATGTAACGGCCAACTGAAGTTGGGAATTATCATCTCGGGACCCTCGATAGTTCCGAAGGTGGGGCGGGGCAGAGGGATTGGATACTTTGGGCGTCTAACCTTCGGGTGGAAGACGCGAACATGGTTCATTCCACCATAGCCGGAACCGTTATCCTGGAAAGAATCGTCGGACTGATTGTCTTCGTCATCTTCAATGGATGTAAGAGCAGGAGGAGGGGCGTCACTTTCGAGGGAAAGGGAGTTGTCTTCCTGCAAGTAAAATATGCATCAGAAATGGACCTTAGATAACGAGGAAAGAGACTCACAGCTTGTTCCTTGCCAACGGGAATGCCGTACTTGGTTTTGCCGAGTGTTGTTCCACCCTCCTTGTATTTTGGGGACGGCTTCTTGTCGGAATCTTGCTCGGATGCGACACTGCCGTGCTTTGGCTTTTTGTTTGGCGTGCGGCGAAACATCTTTCGGAAAGTTCCAAAATGGGGCAAGGAAGGTTGCAAAGATTGGAAAGCCCCCATCCTGTTTGGCGTGCGGCGAAATACCAGTCGGACAGTTTCAAAATGGGGCAAGGAAGGTTGGAAAGATTGGAAAGCCCCGATCCAAAAACCCCGAGGTGGCTGTTGAAGTGGGAATATCTTCGAAATCGGGTCGATTTTCAGTTTGCCGCATTGAGCCGCCATTTTGAATCTTTCGCACCGGCTCATGATACCTCCGATCTCTGCCTTATTGATCTCGGTATGCGATCGGAGATTTAGTGAATGTTCGCTGGCACTCGCTCGCACTCGCTGGCATTCACTAAACTTGCTCCCAGATATCAGCTGTTAGCTTTAGGGCGAATCACTTTACGAGGCGACTTGCAAAGATCATGATAATCACATGAATGAGCAGCTGGTGATCCCCAGAATCTTGTCTACAGGAGATTTTAGTCCAGGCTTTTTAGGCTTACGAATCTCCTTTACATTCCTCTGGCAAGTTCAGATCAATAGGGATGTAGTTGATATTCACGTGACACAACCCCTTTTCTCCTTCGCTTGATCTAATAGTGGTTTAAGCCCACCATTACCCCGCAGTGGTATGTTGCCAACGCAAACCATACTACAATATTCCGCGGGCTCCGATCTTGGCGGGGCTAGTAGACGACACACGTTTCAGCTGAATGATGAACCTCACTTCAGCGTTAATTATGGAGTTTCTAACATTTCACCAACACCGATAACACTTCTTGCTCAAGTCCATACCCGTACTAGACGCTTGACACCCTAGAATGCCTCCCCACGAAGGATTGACCCATCTTAAAGAGTACGATATTAAGGATAGTAACGTTGAGCTGATTGGCACCGAAATCGACCACCGCGTGAAACACAACTCCGCAGAGACAGAACCTGCTTGGAATGATGGCAAAGTAGGACTACAAGCTGGTTTGCATGTCTGGCGGATCGAAGATTTTGAGGTCATCCCATGGCCGAAGGAGAAATACGGCCAGTTCTTTGACGGGGATAGCTATATCGTGCTGCATTCATACAAAGTGGGCAAAGATGGGAACGAAAAATTGGGACATGAAATCTTCTTCTGGCTGGGAAGTAAGACCTCGCAGGACGAGGCTGGGACCGCTGCATACAAGACTGTTGAACTAGATGAGTTCTTGCAGGGTTCTGCGACACAGCATCGGGAGATCCAGCAGCAGCCTTCGGACGAATTCGTTGCGTTGTTTCCTCGTCTCTCGATCCGTGCAGGAGGTGTACGCTCTGGCTTTACGCATGTAGATACGGATGCTAAGACCAAAGAGATCACGCTTTTGCTTCGGATCTTCAAGCATCTCTCTGCTGTTGGCCGTGATTCCATCATTGTGCATGAGGTGGAGCCTACTTGGCAGAGTTTAGATGAGGAAGATGTTTTTGTACTGGATAAGGGAGACAAGATCTGGGTCTGGCAAGGCAAGAAATGCAGTCCCATGGAGAAAGCAAAAGCTGCACAAGTTGTGAATGATCTTACGCTAGCCAAACATATTGATGTTGAGGTTCTGGCACAGACAGATTCTAGATCACATGTGGTAATTGGCTTGTTGGGAGGCAAAAGCAATGCCCCTGACGCTTTCAGATCTTGCAGGCCAGTATCCTCCACAACAACATGCAGCTCTCGCCCCCGCAGACTATTCCGCCTCAGTGATGCGTCTGGACAACTATCCTTCGACGTTGTCAAAGAAGGGCAGACAATCCGAAGAACGGACTTTGACACTAATGACGTTTTTCTCTTGGACGTCGGCCGCGCTATCTGGGTTTGGAAAGGACTGGGAGCGAGTGCTGCTGAGAGGGCAATGTGGCTCAATGTTGCACAATCGTATGTTCGCCAGCTTCAAGGGACTTCCGACGCCTACCTTACACCGTTGGCTGCGGTTGTTGAAGGGAATGAGAGTCCGTCGTTCTTCAAAGCCATTGAGGTGTAAATCTAAGATATGTCAAAACTTGTCTTGCATGTCTCATCCTGACATACCTCGCTCATGTCCGCTGAGTTGAGCATCTGCTCCACGATGTTATCAATCAATATCTGTGCTATTTTCATGTCCTGCGAAATAAGCTTCTATCGTCTGAACCACAGCACAGCTTCTACACACCTTGCGGTAAATCTCAATGCCCCCCTGAACGCTTTGCTTGTTCCCTACCATACCGCCTCTTCCTTGAAATTTCCCCAAGGCAAAGCTGGATATTGCCATATCGGAAGAGGAAATAATTCTCGCCTCCATTGCATTTTCTAGTAGTGCTTACCCAGCCGTAGCTCTCCATTCCAGAGCATGCGACACTTACTAGAAAGTATGAGCCTGAGTATTGTCTGATGTTCCGACCAAAGGATAGCCCTGGCAGCAGCTTTCTAGAGACATGCACAAGTTCTGATGACAAGTGGGCAGGCATGAGATAATGCCCGAGTTCGTAGGAATGCAGTGGCAGTATTTTCCGTTGTCACATTCAACAACCGTACTAGTTGTTCATAGCCTTCCTTGACATAACCTTGCGTACATTCCCTCGTACATTCTCTCTCTGTGTTTGGATTCGATCCAAGCTTGCAGATCTTCACGGGCTTCTCAATTTATGTGCAGTTGATGTCCCCACGCTGGGCTTACCAGAAACTATGGGCCTGAGGATTGTCTGATGTTTCGACGGAAGAAAATCTTCAACAATTCTGTGGGAGCACAGTACTTTCTGCTATCACATTTCATACCTATACGGAGTTGTCAAAGTCGTCCGTCAACTATCGAACTTTGTACGCCCAGCCAAGCTTCAGCCCTGGCGAGGTTTCTGACCAAAGTCGTTTCTTCGCACCTCGATACCGCACTTCTTGCTGCGAGAACTGACTCTCTGACTTTGCGAGTAAGACGACTTCGTCGCTGGATATGGTTGTAGTAAGGCTAAGCGCGGGCGTAAGCGCAAGCAAAGGCAGACCTTGACATTGACCAGCGCTTCGTCGAGGCACCAGTGATGGACACGGCGGTTTCCGTAGTGGCCGTAGTTGTGGCGATGGATCATCCCGAGGCGATCGAGCTGGCAGGCAGTTTTCCCGAAGGACGTGGCGATAGAGGTGGATGAGAAGGTCGTGGAGGTGACTTCAGAGGCGCTTCCGTGGCGGCACACGAACAATGCTGGCCCCTCTTCCACCATCTTGAGCACGGCTTTCTGGGTATAAGAGGTATCAGCAGTGCCACTCCCTCACTTCCTTAACCGAAGATACTTGAATGAGTAAATGACCAATGCATTGCGCTTTTCCGCTGTTTCAATCGCCATGGTTTCCTATCTTGGAAGATATCACAATCCCGCGGAGTTTATTCTTATCAAATATCCCTTATGCTTTTCGGGTATATAGATGTCCTCGGGTGCTCAAACGCTGGCGTCCTTGACAACAGTTTCCAGCTTTCGACCGACATTCCCACTTGACGACGGCGGCAAGAGCTACCAACAGAATACGTCCACAACCAACTTTTCTTACATTCAAGAACAAAAGCCTATATGAAAGGCTTCCCTCGCTGACTCTTGCTGCCTTGAGCCCTACCTCTGGATGATGGGGTATGTTTATTATGATGGGAAGATGACAACACAGAGTCACAAAGTTTGAAACGGAAGATGTTCATGAATGACTTGTTTTCATTTCCTTAACGCCTGTGAAAGGCAAGCCCATGATTGAGAGAAGATTTCCAAATTGTCTCCCAGCAGATGGCGAAACCGAATATCAGAAGCAGCCCAGCCTACACACAGCACGAAGAAGAAAGCAAGGCAGCAGCGCACTCGATCGAATACTCTCGCCCTCGTATGCAATCCACTGTCCATATCCATGCATGTTCGTAGCACTGCCATTTCAGATCTCATCTACTCGAGGACAACCGGGCTCTCTGGCGAACCCTGCTCATCAGAGTGCAACTCAAAGTTGCTCTCACTTCCCGGGCCCTGAACCGCACGACCCGAATGAGTGTATGCGTTGCCCATGTCAGAGCTGCTGGCGCCTCGAAACTGGGGTGACATTCCACCAGTTGGCGTAGCATAACCGGAAACACCACTGTGCTCGCTACCCGCATTATCCCCTCGAGATTTGAGTTGAGAAGAGGCCTTGTAGAATGGGAGGTGGGAGGTGTCATCGCTCATGAGGTACTCCTGTTTGGCGGTGATCTCCTTCTTTTCGCCCTTGATCTTGTTCTTGGCCATGGTGTCGGGCGCACGAGAGAGGATCTCTTCATCATCATCGGCAGCAAATGCCTCGTCGGCCTTGCGCTTCTTAGCGGCTCTGCGAACTGGGGCGTCCTTGGGGGAGAGGTCGTGGGCTTTCATCATGCGCTCGTAGCGTTTGGCTCTGATGAAGTCAATCCTGTCAGTTTTGAAGATCAAAGATCAAATATGAAGAGAGAAGAAGAGGGGCGAGTAGAAAGAAGAAGACTTACGCAGCGCCTCTGGATATGATACCGCACTCCTTTGCAACTTCGTTGAAGTCGATCTGCGAGGTACGTCAGCTGATTTGATGGGTGAATGAATGGGAGATGAGCAGGGAGCGAACTTTGCCGAAGCGGGTGCAGCTGAGGAGAAACCGGATGTTCTCTTCGGTGGAGATTGTAGGCATCTTTACGGATGTTTTGGTGTCTTGAAGTGTGGGTGTCAAGTTGTAGTTGTTGAGGTGTTGGAGGGACAAGAAAGGTTGAAGACGGTCTCGATGCAAGAAACTTGTGCGAGATAATTATGGCGAGCGTGTGACGAGCGTGTGAATTAAAGGTTGGGGGCGGGGTATATGGCTTGATTTTTGGAGCACTAGACGGACTCTCTGGAAATGCTGAAGGACTAATTGGGATGTCTTTGATGGCCTGTTGGCAAATTTATGCAAACTTTCGAGGGACTTTGCAGCACATTAGCATGCAGGGTTTTCAAAGTTGCATGAAAGAGATGAAAGGTTGAAGGAAAGCAAAGTCCAGAAGTCACAAAGGCCGGCATGATGGATCTGCTTGCCTCTTTGCAGAAGAACTAACCTTGCTGCTCAAACATCTTCATGTGGTGATCCGCAGTAGCAGCAGCTCATGCAAATGGATAAAGTCATCACACGGTCACATCATTCTGCCAGTTTGTATATGGCTGTAGGAATTTCATTTCACTATGAGGTTGTTCCACCCACAAACTCCGAAACAGAAGCACATCCATTGTAGGAGGACGAACCAGTGCACAAACCACAGAAACAACCAGAATGCACGCTTCCCCAAACCTCCAGAACAAGCAAGAAAATATCCATCCAACCGAGACAAATAACCTAATCTGCTCCGGACTTTATCGTAGAACGAGGACAGCCACGAACGCCGAATGCTGGTTGGAGAGGCATGGGATGCTCAGTTGGCTGGATCTGGATCCTCAAATATCACAATCTCCTTCTTTCTCTTACGGGGGCTCTCATAGTAATTGACCTGGTTGCCACCGGATGCCGATGGGCCAGCTGCACCCGTGAGGCCTGCAGTCCCTGTAAGGTTTGCAGTGTTAGTATTGTCCGACGGAAGAAGGATTTTGGAATTTAAGGATAGTGCTTCAATGTCTCAAAGCTCGAGAGATATTTTTTGGTGGTTCTGAATGTGCTCAAGTGAAAAAAAGACATCCAGGAAAATTACTTACTCCCGTTGGTTACATCTTTAAGGATGTTTGATTGAACCGCAGAGACGGGGACGACGGACCGGCGGGCGCCACGGCCAGTGGTTGGTATTGGTGGAGGAGGTCGGGACGGGGGTGGTGGGTAGTTATGACTGGAATCTTCCATATCCTCCAAGGGGTCGGCTCTTGGATTTCCACGGTTGATACCTGCAGAGCTCTCGGAGGAGGTCTCGGTCGTCGTCTCGGATTCCATCGAATTTGTCGCATGCTGCTCTCCGTTTGGTTGCTCTGCAGCATTGAGCTCATGGGTCATGCTGGCTTCAGACAGTGTTTGCGACATTATCTCTAGATGTACAGAGTCAGTTATTTGGTTGAGGAGTGCTCAGAGTGCTGAGACATCTTGAATGTCTTAGAATTCTAACATCAAACTCTCGAGTGTGTCGAGAAGAATGCTCGGAGGGGTTACATACAGCTTGTGGTATTGTTTGATGAGGGGGGTGTTGTTTTGTGATGGTCGCGATCGAGGTTGAAAGTGTATGTTGGTGCGAAAAATATGGCAAATTTATTTATTTGCAGGATTTCTTTTTATGTGCACCCCGTTGGCCCTAAGCGATGCTTTCCATCCTTGCGTGTGGCTTCTCCGAAAATTGATGGCGTGGTGAATGAGCGTTTGGCAGCTCGGGGTGCATTGTGGGCTGGTGAGAGAAACCCAGCCCGTTCTGAACTATTTCCAATTACTTCCGCCAATCCTCAGGATATGGCTATTGTTAGCACTGTCTTCATTATCCTGTCGATGTTTTTGGATACGGCGTCTTTATATCCAAGTACAAGTACACCTACTACGCCTGAGATCTAGGAACAGCCGGCTTCTAAGTATTTATACTAAAATGGTGCAGCGGAACCACCTCCTTCTTTTCCAACCATGGCTCCATCCAGTCACGCCAATGAAGACAACAGCAGAACACTCGAGAGAGGGAGCGGACCCAACGAGCATGGCACAGACCAATTGGTGTGGTTGGTATCTGGAGCTTGGACTGAGGGGTGCAAGCAAGGAGCGGGGTGAAGGCGGGGTGAGGCAATGTGGTAGATGATTATTGATGAAAAACAGCACAAGGTCGCGGATTCAGGCAGCGTACGGGGCTTACTTACGTTGGCCTTGTCCCCAAAATCTGTCAGAAACTTATGCTGGACGGAGGTGGGTGGGGAGGGAGGATGGCTGGTCATCGAGGGAACAAGTACAAATCCAAGGCAGCATACGGCGCGTGTTTACAGTCCTTCTGAATGTCCTCAAAACCTGTTAGAGGCGCTTATACAAGAAGCAGACTTTCCAATATCAACCCCTTTT